CATACACACACACACACACATACACACACAGAATACACCATCATAATAATTAATGCATAGATCACCTAATACCTTACGTTTCTCTGTAAAGTTTTGTAGTATAATCTTAAATAAACGCGAAGAACAAGATCATTTTCATTATCGTTGAGCACACAATCTGAGCAAGTTCTTCGCCAAGTCCGAGCACAAAGTCAGTTTCGTGGACTGTTTAACAATATTGCAAGAGTTGACTGGCACGTTCGATGCAGGAGCGATGGAATGCAAGCTTAATATCTAACTTTCTCTTTCTCTGATGTATTGCATTTCCGATCACCTCCTGTGTCTCTCTCTATCTCTATCTATCTATCTATCTATCTATCTCTATCTCTCTATCTCTCTATCTCTCTCTCTATATGTATATATGTATGTATATATATATATATATATATATATATATATATATATATATATATATATATATATATATATATATATATATATATATATATATATATATATATATATATATATATATATATATATATATATATATATACATATATATATATATATATATATATATATATATATATATATATATATATATATATATATACATATATATATATATATAGGAGGGAGAGGAAGAGAGAGAGAGAGAGAGAGAGAGAGAAAAGTAAGACAGGCATAGACAGAAAAAAACAGAGACAGACAGATAGATATATATGTATATATATATCTTTTTCTTTTTGTCATAAATTCTTTCTTTCTTTCTTTCTTTTTATGAGTAGAATGAAGGAATCATCTAATAGTGAAATTCCTTCTGTTTAAAATAATTCTTCACACTTTTATAAAATCGCCTTTCTGCTCCGAACACAGCAAAGGTTACAGCATCTACCATAGGCCTACATCCCTGAAGCGGAGATGGATATGAGTAATGTCAGTTATCATAAAATAATTTAAAGCTTTTTACAAGGTGAATTCTAAACCCTGTTCTATGGGGTTCCTGCCTTCGACCTAATAAACTATTGACTCATTTACATTCCGTTTCGTGATACAGGCAGTGTTGTGTTAATCTTCATTTGCAAACCATTTGTAAGGAATGAATCATAATGCTTTGTTTTCTATTTCATATTTCATATTTGATATAAAACATATATTTACAAAGGAATCCGCATAGATATACATACATATACATATATACATAAATACATCTATACATACATATGTACGCATATACATATCAACATACCATTACCCTATATACATAAAAAAATAATAATAATAATAATATATATATATATATATATATATATATATATATATATATATATATGTATATATATATATATATATATATATATATATATATATATATATATATATATATTATATATATATATTATATATATATATATATATATATATATATATATATATATATATATATATATATATATATATATATATATATATATACATTCTTTTTGGTCACTTGTGTACGATGATAAGTGATTCTCACCGTGACATCGAATTTGAATAATGTTGCCTTACACACTCTATAATTATTCCTGCTATGTTATTCCCGATTAACAGTTTATCTATCATTGTCACTTATGAACTGAGAGTTAGTGTAATGAGCGATTTTATTTCCACTGCTAAACGAGATTTAAAGGTTACTGCTACACACAATATCAGCCTTATTGCAACACATATCATGAACACCACTGTTGCAAGTTCTCCGGTCTTCAACATCACGGCTGTCACTGCTCTCAACCTGTTTCAGTGCCTCTGCAGTGCTTCCGTGGGTCATGCCGCTGTGCTGCCTGCCGCACGATTCCCCGGAGCTTGTCAAGACGCCCATGTGGCTTGGCAAGACTTTCCTATGGCTTGGCAAGACGTCCCCATGGCTTGGCAAGACGCTCACGTGGCTTGGCAAGACGGCGAGGGCCACGCTGTCGGAGCCCGTCAGCCAGAAGGCATCCGTCCTCAGTGTCAGCGTCGTGCTGGTGACGGGGCCCTGGTCTCCAGAGGACTTCGCTGCCTCCAGGTCGTACTCGCCGGACCTGGAGAGGGCGATGATGATGCTGGGGGAGGGAGGGGGGGGGATGATTAAGAAATGGCAGAATATTCTACCGTACGACAAATATAACGTATCGGAAGATTAGGCAACAGTGTTTTTGTTGATTATTTAAACAACACGATCGTTAAGTACTGTAGGATACCATATAACTGACAGATCGTTTCTCTGTTTATATAAACTGTTCGAACGTGAAGGAAATGGCTTCGAATCACAGCTTACCAGAAGAAGACCATCATAAGAGCGCTCGCCGAGGCCCCGAGGAAGAAGTGCGCCGCCGGGAACACGCTGACGGTGGCGTGGTAGACGGCGGTGTAGAGGGCGTAATTCACCATGGGCATGAGGCCGTCCAGGGCGCCCAGGACGGCGGACACTTTGCCTGGAGAAGGAAAAATGGAGATTCAGGTCACGTGTCTTTGAGTAAGACGTAAAAAAAAAAAA